GCATATGTTATTAGTAATAGTAGAAAAAAATGAAAAAACACTAAAAAGGGCATTTTCTCGGGACTACACCTTTTCCGGTATAGCAGCATTATTTTCTGAGGAAATGGCATTAATGCCAAACACCTACTAAGTTGAATCGTTGATGTTATTCCAACGCCGTGCTGTTTTCTCAGAAAGTGGCAATAGAACCAAACACCTGGTTCCATCTGGTCAGTACACCATTCCTCCTAGCTCATTCTGCAATTAACAAAGCTAATTGCAAAGAATGGCTTATCAGTCTCAAAAGCAGAAAGAGTTTGCAATTTCTTTGTTGACTGCTCTTTTGAACCAGTGAACAATGGACAAGGTAGCATTCTCATGAGTTTGTCAACTTGAGTGTTTCCATCAAATCAATAAAGCATTTGTTGCAGTTTCTTTTTCCAAAATAGCGTACAGTAACTGAGATAGCATTCATGTGACACATGATCTATTACGGAAACCAGACTAAAATGTCATCTGTTTTGATATTGATTGATTTGTTTTCACCTGCATTCACTAGTGAGTTAGTTCCGAACCATTTGTCATTTCTGTAAATGACAAACTTAGATATTAATCTTCTTTCCTTTTGGTCCAAACCATTTCAATACTTCCTTGTTCAAAATTAAAATGGGGCTCACAGTTTGTCCGATTCTTGGTTTTCATTCAAAGGGGGGGAGCTATACCAACAGAGAACCATGTTGGGGTTGGAAATTTGTGGGCTAAATGCATGATTCTGGACTCCACTGTTTAGGTCCAATTTTGTAGCAGATAAAGAGGAACTCCACCACTTGCAAGTTGCAAAGCTTTAAAGGGGGTTGGTCTATGAAAATAGATAAAAACACAAAATATTTGCATAAAAACTGGGGCATGTTATAAATATTATGTTAATCATAAATAAATATTAGAAATGAAAAATTACTGTTATAAATGACAAAAATGATTTGAAATGCAAAAGGAGAAAAGTAAAAAAAAAAGGATTTCAGTGATTCATAAGGTTAGAATGTTACTAGAAGATACATGGGAGTGATTGTAGGTTTTTCTAATAAAAAGGAAATTGAATTGATGTTTTATTTTTTATAAAAGGCCACAAAACTTCAAGGGAGTTGGTCAATAGGAAAATGGTTCCCTTTAACCAACAATCTCACGTTTCTTTTGCGAATTAATTATTTTTACTCAGGTAAATGACCAAAAGAAAAATGAACAGAACCTAGAAGAGACTTGTGCAATATGGGGGCTGATGTTAAAATGATAGCAATATTATATGCAATTTCTTAACTGAATTGGTTGTGGATGGGCTTAAATAGCCCATTTGTATTCTTAAAAATTCAAAAGAAGCACAAAATTCTACAAGGATTGAGAAGTAATATGAAGAATCTGATGTGGACAATTGCATTTTAGGATATAGCGTAGAAGTAATAGATTTTACTGAAAAAAGATAAAAAAAATTGAATATTAAAAACCAGATGGATCTAGGCTTTCCCTTAACTTGCCACTTGTCCCATGCTTGAAACATCAGACCCCTATCGGCTAACATATGTTCAGCAAAGTTCAGTTTCCTATTCACACTCTCCAAGTACATGCATCAAACATAGACTTCTCCCGTTTATGGCAATTTAATTATGTGCTGAAGTTGTTGAAATGAATGACTTAAGCTCCATTCATTTTTTTGGTAAGTTATTTATCTTGATAAATGCAATTATTTGGGTAAGTTTTTCTTGGAAAACACTTATCAAGTAAGTGCATTTACCCATGTTCTTTTATTTCCCAAGTAAATAAGGCAATGACCATTTTAGCCATAAAAATCTATTATTAAAAGATGTATTTTTGTCCAATTCAAGTATTGGCAACTTTCCCCCAAGGTGGAAAAGTTATTTATCCACTTAGGAAGTGGGTATTACTTACCCAAGTAAGTGATACATACGAAAATAAACTTTTCCTAATTCCCACATAATTATGAAAAAAAAAGGACATGTGATTCTTGGTAATGAGAACCAAAATCAATTAACCAACTTTTCCCCCTCTCAAAATCTATATATATATATATATATATATATGGACAGTAGCTCACCTAGTTGGTTGGTTGAACTGCAAGGAAGTACTCAAAGAACCTAGGGTGGTTAACCCGACGTAGTCAATCTGATGCTTAAGTCAGTACTAAGTTGGTTGCGGGTTGAAAGTAAGTCGATATGAGAGTTAGAATGCACTAAATCGCGCATGCCTGGGTCTTAGGGGCTGATGCCATTATATAGATGGGTTGCTGTGGGTCTCATGATACATCTCAGAGATCCTCAACCTGTGTCGTTAAGAGTTCGTTCTGCCCCAAGAGGTGGATAACATGGTAGCCGATTAGGCCCATTGTGTCTGGCTGATCCGGGCGGGATGAGGATAAGTCCTGCGGTCATGTGACGTGATCTCGAAGAGCTAAGAGACAACTGACATGCTTCTAGAAAATCTGATACGTGTCACCTCGGTAAGTTAGACAATTCCGAGCTACTCAAACCTCGGTCATTGCTGAGGTACTCAAAACAACCAAGGTGGCTTGACCTCCCGAAGTGACAACTTTGATGGGTCATGTCCACGTGTCCTCTATTTACTAGGTCATGTCCACATGTCCACGTGTCCTCTGTTTATCATACACTCTGTTTAGTGTATGATAAAATTTCATCATACACTAAAATGATTCAGGATATATTAATCAATCGGGTCATTCATCCATTAAGGAGCACATGATATGGCATTCACTAAAAAACAAAGCAAATGAGCCCTTCAGTTAAGCAACATCTACCGATTTTAGAGTTAGTATTACACGAATCACGAATAGTTGTTACTTGTTAGCATGTGATCGTAATCAAGTTGCTTCACCTCACAACCGAAAACAGTGAGATTTGTTGTAGAAGTTGGTGTCCGTTTGGGAGGGTTTTTATACAATAGCTTCTGCCTTCTCGCATTGCAAGGTAAGCTCCATACGGAAAGCTGTTAAGTCATGCATAGCAAAAGCTAGGCCCCACACAAGAATGTCATAAGCTTTGTTTGGTAAAATCCTGAAAAATCAATATAGACTTTTGGAATACCCAAACCACTGTTCAAATATGAAGCTACTCCGAGTAGCTTTTTCCAAACACCGATGGTCACTATTTCCAAACACCGATGGTCAATTACTATGGCTCAATTAACACAATGCACCCTTAACGCAGAAGTCTTCCCAAAATCGACTTTCCGGTAAAACTATTGTTGATAACTTCTCTAAAGCCCTCCCAAACAGGCCCTTAGTACAATATTCGAAGGATCCATCTCCGAGTCTTCTGGGGGACCAGGCTCATGGAAGGCCATTAATGTTTAGCAGTTTAGGTGGTTAATAAGGACAACTTTAATAAATCTCCTGGTTGGGACTTCTTAAATTATTATCAACAAAATCTCCACTACAAATCTACTAAGATCCTTAACCAATGTTCAGGGATTCTGTTCATAGCCAACTAGCTAAACTACTGTTTTCATCACATGATAATGACGCTCCAGAGGCATGTCTGTCGATCTAACCCTAAACCCTTAAGACAATTCATCTCTCACGTTTTTCTCTATGACCCACTAACAGCCTCTTCTACAAAATTTCTACTTATAAACCTCTCATGGGCAAAAGTTGAAAAGTGGATGGGGGCCACCAAACAAAGAAGTTAGGTAGATGGCTAGGTGTAGTGGGTCCCCCCCATCCACATCAGATGGATGCTTAGATCCACCAAAATCAGCACTCCATGTGGACAAAACCCATCCATAGACCATATTCTCTTGTTAGTTGTTACTTTTCTTTGATCAGTATCACATGGATTGTTAGTTAAGCTGATTTAGACCTCTCATCTAAATTCTATACCCAAACAGAGTAGCCTCCTGTTCAATGCTCATTCCAATGCAAGCTCATGCTTCTCCATTTCATGTATGGTGGACTTTTGCCACCCAATTCCATTTCTTTTATCCAAACAGCATTAAATAATACCTAGAGAATAGGGAATTACTTGCACTAATCATGGGAGCCTCAAAACTTTTATCCAAACAATGCCTAGAAAAGAGAGTCCCTTTTGTTTATCATTTTGGTGGTTTATTGGGCTGTGAGACCTTAATGAAAAGGAGCAGAGAAGACTGTAACGTGGGTAAAGACGATGGAGGTCAGGAGCAGCAGGAGCCCTTTGCGGCTGTCCCATGCTCACCCCACCCCCCTCAACTGTGGTGGAGAATGTAGAATGATTGTGATCCAAATGGACCCTAAGTGGATCAATCAAATCAACAACAATCCAGTTAGTATCCGACAACCCACTTGAATGCTTCCCACTGGAATCTTGTCCTTGTCCGGACTCCAGTCTCAAAAGGGTTTCCCCTTGCTCCTTTGCTAATCCTTATCATTTGGGCATGCACCTCTTCATCTCGTCAGGGTCCCACTCAATCCACAATTGATCCTATGCCCGCTTGAAGGGCCCCACCTCAGTGAGTGTTACCCATATTTATATAAAATACTGCGTGAGGCATGGGATCATTATAGCTTCATAGCTTTCAGTTCAGATCAAAGCAATCAAATGTCATTCATGGGCCTGAATGCGCACGTGAGTGCGACATTGATGGCTACTGTAAGGTGTAAGGGGACAGTAGGAGACACCATTGCTTCAGCCAACAATTATTACGTGCACACTCATACTCTCTCTCACAGTCTCACAATCTTGACCGTCCACTTGTGGACCTGTGGCCCCAATGTGGGCCGGGCCCACGTCCATTCCCCAACCCCAACTGAACGACCACCAACGGAACGGAGGATGGGAGCCGGGAGGAGTTATGGCCCCAAGATGGGCCGGGCCCACTTCTTGAATTCCACTCCCGAAGGCCGAATCCCAACAGAACGACCAACGGAACGGATAGGGGTAGGGGAGGACCGGAGGAGGACCCAGTTCTCGCCTCTCGGACAGTCGGACACGAAAAATATATATAAAAGGGAGGCCCCAGTTTTTCGGTTGCTCAGAAAAGCCCTCATTTTGCGAGGCTTCCAGCTGAAACCAGTAGCCTGTTCCAAGCTCTTTCTGTCAGGATTCAGGACCAGATCTCCATTACTCTCTTTCTCTCTCGAGGTCTCTATCGTTTCTTCGGAAGAAATTTCTCGTGAACTGCATGTGAACATGCATTGAGATCCGGCCGAATAAGCGCAACCGAGGATATAAACGGATCCATTGCTTTCGTTTCAGGTGAGTTCGCTGTCTTTTTCTCTTTTCTTTTTTGGCTCTGTCTTTTCTGCTTCCGTTTTCTTTATTTACATTAATTTCGATATCTTTGGTTCGATTGAATTCAAGTATTTCTGTTGTTTCTTCTCTTTGAATCTGCAGAGACGGTGAAGTTTTATTTGTCTTAGGTTGTTGAAGACGGAAAGCGAGACTGAGGCCTGAGGAAAAGAGAGCTGGAGGTTCAGGTTGTTGCAGAGATCTGAAAAGCTGGTTCGTTGTACTTTTTCTTTACTAATAGGAGTTGCATGAAGAATGTCTGTTGCAGAGATCTCTGTTTTTTAGTTGAGTTTGGAGGTTTCCGGCTTCGTGGTGGAAGTAATACATATATATTTTTGCATTTGTATTGAAGTTTAGATATTTCTTCTTCTTCTTCTTTTCAAGTTTTCTGAAGCTTGGTCCAGTCACCGACGTTATATTTGAGGAATTCGGTTTTTTGGCTACTGATGATGCTTTTAGGGAAAGTAGGAGTTGAGTTCATAGCTACCAACTTCGAATTTTTGTATCCGTACGTTTATGCAATAGTTATTGATGAACACTAAATGGTTGCTTTTAAAGTTCCATCATGAGTTCGTCTGGCAGGAGCTCTAGTTGCTCGAGGGTAGGTATCAAGTTGGAATTCATAATAGTATTGGTGAAGATACTACAAGTGGGATGTGTTGAGCATCATTACTTGTTTATGTGTTGTCGTGATTGAGAAGGATTTCGACGCTTGGCAAACCAAAAATGCTTGATTTTTCTTTTACAAACTCTGTTGATCCACCAACTTCTCTGCTGCGGGACCTGTTTGTGTTCTGATCATGACCAGAGCTGTTCGCAGTGGATTTCTCAAAGATGAGAACGGTGCTATTAGTGATCACCTTCGCAATCACGTCCATTTGACGAATTGTATTCATTTGAAGAACCACATGCACAGGCAGAGCCCCATCTTGGCTGAAAGGTTACTTATGAGGGATCTTATTGTCCTTCAGAGGTCAAGATCTCTCAGAGATCCTTCCACTAGTCCTCCTTCATGGCATTCTCCTTCTGTCATTGATTCATTGTCTAAGAAATTTGAAAAGGAGGCTGGTGTGCGCGAAGGAAGAAGGTCCGTCGGCAGTGAACGTCGGAGGGAAGGTAGTAGGCTATCAGGAAGCTCCCCACCTATCGCCAGTGTAGCAACATCAAAAGTTGCTGCTGCTGAACTAGCCAGGGGCAATGATGGGGGAGCAGTTTCCAGTGATCGCAGTAGTATGGGTAGGGCCAGAGATTCCAGAGGGATTAAGGGAGAGGACTCTAGTAGAAGAAATCGGAGAAGTGATATTTCAGTTGGCACTGAGGAGCCTTTACAAGATAGTCACAATATGGTTAGTGGTTTTGTTCCCGGGAATGTAGAAGGTAAAACTAGAAAGGGTTCACAGAAGGGAAGATATGGTCAAGATGTTCACCTTAAGACTCTCTCAGAACAGCTGAATGAATTTCCACTTGATAGTGATGATGTGGAATCATCTCACATCCATCGTCGTGGAAGACGTACTAGACAGGAAAACGCCAGTGACAAGCCAGAAACAAGTATTTATAATCATCGCAATGGATTGAATAAGGTGAAAAAGCGCAAGTTTCGAAATGTGAGGAGGCCTCGAGCCACTATTGGCTTGAGAGATATTGGAGCACAAAATGAATTATCTGTGGCATCTAATACATTAGCCCAAGGTTCAACACAGCCTAGGTTTCAGGTGGAGGAAGGAGAGGAACAGGATCCCCAGTTCGAAGTTACACAAGCTCCAAGAAATGGGTGTGGAATTCCTTGGAATTGGTCAAGAATTCACCATAGAGGTAAAACATTCTTGGACATGGCTGGAAGGAGTTTATCTTGTGGGCTATCTGACTCAAGGTTAAGGAAAGGAGGTCCTGTTTTCCAAGGAAGAGATTCTTCAGGTATGCCTCTGGCATCTGATCACTCAGGCTCATCTACTAAATCTGATGCTGAGGCACTTCCTCTGCTAGTTGAGCCATCAGGGTCTCAGGAAAGTACTGAAAATGCTGCTTGGGTGCGTGACTATTCAGGAGAGCTTGGGATTTTTGCTGATCATGCATTGAAGCGTGATGTAGACTCTGACCTTGCTTCTGAGGCTAGATCCGGTGGTCAGCTCAAACCTAGAGGGAACCTCCATGCTAGACATCAAAGTCTAACACAGAAATACATGCCAAGGACCTTCAAGGATCTGGTGGGACAGAACTTGGTAGCTCAGGCTCTTTCAAATGCTGTTATAAAAAGAAAAGTTGGGTTGCTTTATGTGTTTTATGGTCCTCATGGCACTGGAAAAACCTCATGCGCTCGCATTTTTGCTAGAGCTTTAAACTGCCAATCTCCAGAAAATCCCAAACCTTGTGGTGTCTGCAGTTCATGCATTGCACATGATCTGGGAAAAAGTCGAAATGTCAGGGAAGTTGGTCCAGTCAGTAATGTTGACTTTGAGAGTGTCATGGATTTACTTGACAATATGATTATATCCCAACTACCTTTTCAGTATAGAGTGTTCATTTTTGATGATTGTGATAATTTGCCCCATGATTCTTGGAGTGCCATTTCGAAGGTCATTGATCGAGCACCTAGAAGAATGGTTTTTATTCTTGTTAGTACGAGTCTTGACAATTTGCCTCATATGATCATGTCCAGATGCCAGAAATTCTTTTTCCCAAAGTTGAAGGATGCAGATATAATCTATGCTTTGCAGTGTATTGCAACAAAAGAAGATCTAGAAATTGATAAAGATGCACTAAAACTTATTGCATCACGGTCAGATGGATCTCTAAGGGATGCTGAGATGACTCTTGAGCAATTGAGCTTGCTTGGGCAGAGAATATCAGTTCCTTTGGTTCAGGAGCTTGTAAGTTTTCCTGACCTTTTTACCCACCTAAGCTTCCATTATCATTTTTGGACATTCCATATGACAGAAAATACTAATTGTATAGTTAATGATGTCCTGTTTCTGATCACACTAAAGTCGTCATATTTTGTGTCATGTCAAAGGTTTCAATATTCATTGTACATAGAACTAATTTAATTTTAAGAAATCTGCAACTTTGGATCTAGTATTATATTTTGATTCCTAAATGTATGTGGTATATATTCTTCAAATGTGTTGTCCTCCATTTGATCGCTTTATTTATTTATTTAGACTTTCACTTCTGCTGGTACTCCCCAATCTTTACACACCAATGTACGAAAAAAAAAGGAAAGAAAAATAACAACCAAGGAAAACAACATAGAAAAAAAGGGAAGAAAATAGAGGAATTTATTTATTTGGTGAAATCAAAAGAAATAAAAAACTGAAATCTGTAACCTTTCCATCCTAGACTTGATAGAAGTTACATTGATTGAAAAAAAAGGTTCATATACATTATATTGTTGTTCTCAGAGTTGAATTTTATATATACTCACAGTTATATTTCTCAACAAAAAAGGCCTCACTTACCATCCATGGTCAATTAATTAGCAGGGATATAACCATATGGTAAAGTGAGGCCTTTTTTTGTTGAGAAATGTAACTGTGATTATATATTAAATCGAAAGGCAAAAAAGTATATAAAATGATGTACAATGAAAAATCATAAGCAAAAGAGCCGTCCTAAAAAATTATATCGGCAGAGATCTATCACTATACAGTCCAACCCTATGTACATCTGTCTTTGCTAACCCATCAGCCATTGAATTTATCTCCTGCAATTTTCCTTTCTTCCCAAGTCTCCGACATAATGACATGGATGATATTTCCAACAAATGTGACACCTGGTGTCCAACACAAGCAACTTCCATTGCAAAAGGATTTCCACCACTCCCACCCCAGGAAAGCCATTCAATAGCCCCAAAAGCCCAGGAAAAAGTACCATTGTTTCCTGGTCTCATAGTAATGAAAAAGAAGATGAGTGATTGATTCCCTCCCCCTCTTCCGCATGCAAACATGGGGGGAATGATAAGATTTGGGACCTTTTCTGAAGGGCATTGCAAGTATTCTCATGAAGATTCTTTCCAAATAAAGAAACAGTTTGAAGTTGGAGAGGTAGGCATCCAAAATTAGATTACTTAGTATGGTATATGAGCTTTAAGTGGGGACTGCCCTTTTCCCTTTTAGCAGTTATTATTTACTTCTGTATTTAATTCTTGTCATTAGCTTGTCTTTGTATTTATTTTATTGTTGTTTTCATCTTATGTAAGGTGGTAAATGGGTCAACTGTTGTTTGGGTATTTGCAGATGAGTTTTGTGAAATTCTATTGGTTATCTATTTTCATCATCTTGTGTCTTCCTCACTACATGTCACGAGTCAAGTTAGCAGTTGTAGGAGGACAAAATTTAGTATTGGGATATGTCCTATTGTCCTATGGGTTACTTCTGCAACTTGTAGTCATGTTGCAAAAGAATCCCTAATGTCAGTGGTTGTGTCATTTTCTTTTTTGTTTCTTATTTCTCTATTGTAGTCTCTTCTTTATTTGACTTTTCCATGGGAGAAGCTAGTAACTAAAGGTGATTGGATGCTATTGACTCTCCTGTTATTCTTGTTCATTGCTGACTCTATTCCATTGAGTTTCTATTCTGGTGATTTTTTAAATCTTGGTTAAGTATCTATTATGAAAATCACTCAGATTTACAATTAAAATAATTTGAAGTTAATCCCTCCTTATGTAGACCTTTTAGTTTTAATAAGAAAAACCCAGACCTTTCAATAAATGCTTTCCTGACTTTCTTTTGTTGTTAATTCTTCTAGAGAATGGTAAGCAGGAATTAAGACACAGCTCAACCATTGACCAGAAGAAAAGAAAAGGACAATTACATGCATAATAAAATAATTTATTTATCTACATCTTCCCTACCAATCTCTTTCAGGCCTTCTAGGGCAGCATGAATAGCAAGAAAAGGCTAAATTCATTTATCTGCATCTTCCCTGCTCATCTCTTTCAGGCCTTCTAGGGTGGCTCTATTGCTTTTTCCCTTGTTTTCATTTTTTAAACCGGGGGGTAATCATGCTGTGAACATAGATATTTTATGTAACGACATAAAATTTTAAAATACCTTTTCCTTGATCAAGTTCAAATTTATAATTGCTTTATAGGAGAAAACTAAGTACACTTAACTTCTCTATTGTCACATACGAAACTGCTTAAAACTTCATGACTTCTAACTTTTCCAGGTTGGATTGATATCTGATGAGAAACTGGTAGACCTACTTGATTTGGCATTATCTGCAGACACTGTCAACACTGTGAAGAATCTAAGAGAGATTATGGAAGCTGGTGTGGAGCCATTAGCATTAATGTCACAACTTGCAACTATAATAACTGACATCCTAGCAGGAAGCTATGTATTCACCAAAGAAAGGCTAAGGAGAAAATTTTTCCGGCGACAAACATGTGAGTCCAAGAAGTTTTTACTATACTCTGGTGCTTTTTGACTGGTGACAGACTTAATTAGGTGAGCTGTCACACAGCCCATAATTCACAATAAGTACAAGAAGTAATATAGCTCCTTGTAGTTTAAAAAAAATCCTGTTTACATTTTGTCCTAAGGGGGCTCTATGATAGATAAGGCCCATTATGTTAGCATGTCTTACTACAACTCATCATTACCAGTATTAATTTCAATTTTTGTTTTGAATTGCTGCAACTCTGCAGACATTACTTTTTTTTTTTTGGATAAAGGTAACTATATTATTTATATAATTTGTTATGACAAAAATTGAATAGATGAGAAAACATACACAAATACACAAAGTGTGGACAGACAACCCTTCCCACATCCAAAAGAGAAAAAGGCAATGATCTGTCACTGTACAAAAAAAATCTTATTTATAATGGACAAAGCTCATGATTCTAGGCATTTCTCTAACTACAATTAACCACTATTAGTATTAATTTTAAATTTTATTTTGATTTGTTGTAACTCTTCACATATTAGACAAAGGTAGCTATATAATTTACCTTCGTCCAAAAAGGTTCCCATGCAAACCTTGATAAGATTGTGAGGAAGGAAACTGGCCTTCTTTTTGTTGGGTATCCATGACCAAGTTGTTTGGGAATTTCCATTTTAGTTTTCTTTTTTGCAAAGGAGTGTATGCTGGGCTGAGATGAAACTGGTTCCCTTTTATTTTTTGTATTAGGAGCCTGCTGTGTCCTTTGTACAGTCATTGTATACTTGGGAATTCATCCCTATTGATGAATGCACAAGTTACTTTCTCAAAAAAAAAAAAAAGGAAAAGGAAAAGAAAAAAAAGAAAAAATATAAATAACTTATATTTGTTCTGCATGACAAAAATTGAATACATGAGGTACAATAATACACCATTACCAAAAAAGGTACAAAAATACACAAAATATTGATAGAAGACCAACCGTGCAGCTAAAAAAGGCAAGGGTCTGTAACTATAGAAGAAAGTCTTATCCACCACTAATTTGTCTAAGCCTTGGAGTAGAATTCTTCTCCCAAGGAATCTATCTGATCTGAATGGACAGTGACTGAGGACTTTGCATATATTACTTTATAGAATTCTGCTTGAATACGATCGATCCCATGAAAAAAAAAAAATATCCTTCATGGAAACATGGTCATAGGTTTGATGGCACAAGAAGAAAAAGTAGGAAAACAGTAGAAAAAAACACAAGACAAAATAAAAGAATATATGTTGAAGGTGCTTAAAAAAAGTAATAAATCTGAAAAATGCTGACCCCATATTTGCAAATTTGATATCGATGGACATTTTATCATGCAGAGATGGGGAAATATCAAGGATATTTTTCTAATTTTGTTAAGGTACTTGAAAATTTATAAAATTATGGAAATTTTCTGTAAATATGGAATTAACTAATAACCTTCAAGAAACCATTGGAAGAAGTATAACCACACATTTAAGGCTTTAAAAACCATTGCAATGAGCTATATAAATCAGATAAGAGAAGATTGAGAGACTTAAATAGGTATCTTTAACCAGTCTCCCTTTTAGTATTTTAGCTATCTTCTGTTTTTTTTTTTGATAAATGAGTATGATTTATTAAATCAGAAATATGAGACAATACAGTAGACCCAAGAGGAGGCATGAATTGTTACCTCTTCTAACAAGTATTACATCAACTTAAAAACAGAATTGACCAGAATGAACCAGAACTAGCATTACAAAGCAGCCCAAAATAAATGTTCCCTTGAAGCCCCTTGCTTAGCTAACCCATCCGCTAAGGAATTTGCTGATCTTCCCACCCAAAGAAAGGTAACAGTCATGTTTCTTGTGATCCAGTTGACTTTCCTTAATGTATCTCTTTGTCGCCACATAGCTGAAGCTGGTTCTTTGAGCCATCCCACAACAATCTCAGAGTCCCCTTCAACTACCAAGTGCTGAACTCCTAATTGTTCTGCAGTTTGAATACCTTGCACCACCGCTAATATCTCAGCTCTATTGGAGTCTCCTATTCCCACGGGGCCTGAAAACAATGCTAATATTTTGCTTTCATTATCTCTTAGCACCCCTCCTATCTCCGATGGACTTGGGTTTCCTTGGCTACTTCCATCAAAATTCAGTTTTGCCCATCCTTCAGGTGGAGGCATCCACACTACAGATTTCCTGTCCTTCCTTGCATGACTGTTAGCCACCACTATCCAATTTCTCCAAAAATCATCAAAGGAGAATGTATGAAATAAGTCCATAGTTCTTAACCAATGGATGGCCCTAGTTAAGATACATTCCTCAACAGCTTGAGAGCTTCTTTCCTCCTCCTTAAAAACCCTTGCATTCCTTTCTTCCCAGATTGTCCACAAGGTGGCTGCTCTAATACATCGCCACATTATTTTTCCTCTTTTTGTAGGCCACACAAAAAAGGAGGGATTGAACAACTGACTTAAATTTGTGGTCAGATTCCACCTGCACACAAACAAAGAGAAAATCCAACTCCAAATAGCACTAGAAAAAGAGCAAGATACAAGTAAGTGAGAGCAATCCTCACCACTAGCCCCGCAAAGTACACACCAGTTAGGGGACAAACACAAAGAAGGCCTTTTCCTCTGCAAGCAGTCCAGGGTATTAATCTTTCTATAAAACACCTCCCAACAGAAAATAATAACTTTAGGTGGAACCAGTTTAGGCCAAATCTCCTTGGTTGGAAAGCCCCACTGTCCCTGGGAAGAGCAAAGGGATTTAAAAAAGGAAGCACAGGTGAAGTAACGTTTTGGGTGAGGGGACCATAATCTTACATCCAAACTAAGGGGGTTCAAAAAGACATGGCCAAGAAGGAACAACAGATCTGAAACACTGTTAAGTTCATCATCCCTCAAGCCTCTTCGGAAGCCAAGGTCCCAACTTAAAGAGGGGGTGAAACAGGAGAAGGGAGAAAATGAGAGACAATTTTTTGCTTGTAAAGGGAAATAGAATAGAGATACGGAAACTGGTCCTTAAGGGCAAACATTACCCACCCAAATGTCTTCCCAAAATAAAACAGAGGTACCAGAATTGATATCATACCTGACAAAGTTGAGAAACTGAGGGAGGATACTTTGGATTGCTTTCCACGGGGAAGCCAACGTAGCTTGACGTGATACACCTGCATCCCATCCATTTTCCAGTCTACCATGTATGCTAGCTATTACTTCGTGCCACAACCTCTCCCTTTCTCTAGGCCATCTCCACAACCGCTTTCCTAAGAGAGCTTTATTCTTGAGAGTTAACCTTCCTAGTCCCAAACCACCTTCCTCTTTACTTCTACAAACTATTTCCCAATTAATTAGGTGGTCTTTCTTTTCCTCTCTTGGCTCCCAAAGGAAATTTCTCATTAATCTCTCCAACTTCTTAGCTTCCCTATTAGGAATCCTAAAAACAAAGAGGAAATAGACCTGTAGGTTTGCTAGGGTAGCTCTCAATAAAGTCACTCAACCCCCTATAGAGATATGGTTCTTTTTCTAAGAAGTTAATCTTTTCTCAAGCTTTTCCAACACTGGGGTCCAGAAACTACTCTCTTTTGGGTTAGCTCCTAGAGGGAGACCTAAGTACTGCAATGGCCAAGTAGCGACGGAACAACCTAAACAATCAGCCACAGATTGGATAATCCCCTCATTCATGTTAACACCTACCACACAACTCTTCTCTAGGTTTATTCTCAAATTTGATACCTCCTTAAAGTGTTGTATTAATGCTCTGAGATTCCTCACTTTTTGTCTATCACCCCCTTCATAGAATATTATGATATCATCAACAAACTGTAGGTGGGTTACCCTAATATTGTTCCTTCCTATCTTCCAGCCACTCACTTCCTCTTCCCTATATGCCCTAGAGATTAATCTACCGAAAACATCTGCAACTAAGGTGAAAAGAAACAGGGAGAGTGGGTCACCTTGTCTGAGGCCTCTACAAGCAGGGAAAAAATCTTTGACCACCCCATTCATTAAGACTGAATAATGACAGGAACTAATACAACCCCTTACCTAATTGCACCATATCTCCAAAACCACAACACCCAAGGACCTCTAGTAAAAACTCCAATCCACAAGATCATAAGCCTTCTCTAAGTCTAACTTACAAAACCTTGATTCCCCGACTTTCTCATGTCCTCCACACACTCATTTGGTATTAGGATCTGATCTATTATTTGCCTTCCTTGCACAAAGGCACCTTGTGCTTGACTAATGATGGAGGGTAGTACTACTCAAATTCTTAATGACAACACTTTAGCCAGAATTTTATAGATGCTTGTAACTAGACTAATTGGCCTATACTCCTTAGGGTCCTTCGCATCTATCTTTTTAGGGATTAGGGCTAAGAAAGTGGCATTCACTCCAGGGCTTACCCTTTTTTTGTCTGCAAACTCCTGAAACACCCTAATAAGATCTTCTTTTACCACATCCCAACAGTCCTGATAGAAAGACATTGTGAAGCCATCTGGGCCAGGTGCTTTGGATCTATCCATTGAGAATATCACCTGTCTGATCTCTTCTTCACTGAAATCCCTCTCTAACCAATTTACTTGTTCTTCAGATAACCTATTCCACTCCAAATCATCCAATATTGGCCTACTATTCAATGGTCTTCTATAGATTGATTTGAAGTGATCCACAAACATTCTTGCTATCTCATCTTGATTTGTGATTTCCTCCCCATTTACCTCTAACTTGGCCACGAAAATTTTCCTTCTCTTCCCATTAGCCACTGCATGGAAGATATTTGTATTTCCATCCCCTTCCTTAATCCATCTATGTCTTGACTTTTGCCTCCAGGAAATTTCCTCTCTCAGAAGAATCTCTTCCAAATCCTTCTTTAAATTTCTTCTCAAGGTCCTTTCTTGTTCACTCATTATCCTTTGGGCTTCTTTGGAATCTAATTCCTCAATCCTAGACACCAAATTACTTTTTTGCTCCTCTATCCTCCTAGAGTGTTCCC